ATATTTACATAAATGATAAAAATAAAAAATAAAATCACATAATACGTAACAATCACAAAAAATACGAAAATAAATATCAATGAAAGAGAACTACATAAAGTGAGAATGTAATTAACTCATACTACAATTTTGAATCACTTTATTAAATCATGAAAAATTCATTTATATTTCTCATTAAAAAAATTTCATACATGAATTAAGTTCGATATCAACAAATCACGAACTTATAATATTGTCTGTTTACAGCACTTAATTATAAAATGTCATATGAGTAAATTACTAGGGAAACAATGAGAAGAAGAAAAAGAAAAAGGTGAAGGAGATTAAAGAGAATAAATAAACAAAGGAAAACAAGAATAAGCAAATCCAATTAGGCTTAAACTTAGAAGGAGAGGAGAATTAGTGTTTTTTCATCACAAGTTTCCAATTTCACAAATCAAACTCCAGAGGCTATGGAACTGGAAAAAATAAATAAATAAATAAATTTTAAAGAAAAGATAGGAGAAAAAATAAGCACTAGAGCCATGAAAATCTTGGAGAGATTCCACAAGGACAAACCCATATGGGTTTATGTCAATAAAGGTGAGCAAAAAGGTGGAAGACAATTAACAAATGCAATGGCTTCAAAGTATATGCTGGGAAGATGCTTCTTCCCCACCAATCTTAAAAAGCCATCAAACCATTCAACTCTTCTCCTAGCTATCATCTTTTGTTCTTCCTCTCAACAAAATTTGCTCATGGCTCCAAATTTTCCGATGAAAACTGTTGGGTTTGAAGCTGGACGTGGCAGTGATAACTGTCGTAGTGAGACTAAAGTCATGGAGAGTAAGGAGAGCAAAGAAGAAGAAGAAGGAGAGCTTGTGTTGAAGGCTAACTCTTGAATATGAGTTGGTTTGCACCATTAGGGCAACTATTGATCCTTTGGCAAATGTTGTGTCCCATCTCTCATCTCATCTATATATGTGCTTTGGAATATATATACATATTATCAGATGTTGAGCACCTTAATGAGAGAAAACTTCTTTAGTTTGGCTTCTTTTCTTTTCTCTTTCTATTTTTTCAGCTAGCTTAGAGATTAACATACATGTAACTCATAGTTTCTTTTCTTCTTCTAACAAAAAGCTTTTCTTCTGCAATTTCTTTTCTTTTAAGTTAAGAAATACTTTAATGCACCAATTATATCAATGAATATTTTTACTGGTCATGTTCTTAGACCTCACTACAGATTGTCAATAACACCAGCCCAAATAAATTAAAAATACATGGCTGAAATCTTTATGAATGATTAAATTTTAACCTAACAAGTGAACATGATAAGTTTTCTTTTCTTTGATGGGTATGTTTACACTGTTAATAATTAGTTTTCAAGAAAAATGCATTTGCCAAATTTCATCATTTTTTCAAGAGCTTATGAATGATATTAAACATAAGTATATGTCAATAAATAAATTTTAAAAATTCTCCCAAACATACTCTTAAATTCTAAGTCAATAGATCCGCTAAAAACTATTACAAAAAGTGAGCTTACGCAGTAGAAACAACTCATTTTAAATTAAAAAAATAAAAAAAATAAATTCACTTAAAGTTTGTTTTGTTTGGCTGTTAAAAGTATAAAAAATATACATATTATAGTGCTTAACAAAATTTATTGTAAAATATTTTTAATGCAAAAATAATGTTATATTTTTAATTTATTATGTTATAAAATTAATAACAAATTTTAAAATAATAAAAAATATATATAATAAGAAAAAAAAAATTAATATAATTATTTAAATAAAATTATTTAAAAAACAAAAGTTCACTAATAACCTATTTTTATTATTTTATTTTTTTAATACATTTCAAAAGTTATCTGTAGGGATGACAATAAAAAAATATTCAGAATATATTGTATCAAATTTAAAATCTGTTCTAATTAAACAATGCGTTGTCTTGAAACTGCCCCAAATTCGGGAGGAGTTCATAAAAAAATAAGTTTTTTTTTCTACACCGTGCAGATTTTTGGTGAAACTTGCACCACCTACCCAGTAAAAATAAATAGTAACCTTTGGGGAAAAATTGCTAGATTGTTATCTAATCCAATTGTAGATCGGCTCATACGCCTCTCGTTATCTGCTTGTGAAGGCCCGCCCTTATACGCATCGCTCTCATGAATTGCAACACAAAGCTACAAAAGCCGAAGATTTCAATCTCTAGCGAGATGAAGACGAAGATGAAGATGAAGATGAAGAAGAAAAGAAAAAGAAATTTTAAGATGAGGACGAAGAAGATGAATGATGGAGGTGACAAATTTAAATAACAGTGCTTATACATTTTAATACTTTTTACATATTTTTTAATTCTTAATTAAAATCTCAAAAAAATTGATAGTTTACAATATATGTGCACGATCAAGTTCAGACGATGTTTTAAAACTTAAAACCAAAACCCAACCAAGTTCATACGCCCCGCCCCATATCGATTGAATAGTAGTTTCAATCCAACCCAACCAATTCAATTCAGACTTGGTTAAAATCAAACAGTTTGGCATTCCCTAATCATCCAACAAGCTGAATCTCTATGAGCTCCCTGAAAATCTCTGTAAGTTGTTTTGTACTACTCCAAAAAAGTACATCAAGTACTACCTTCCCCAAAATAGAAGTACGTAGTACTAACCAACGGACTCCACTGCACCACCACATCTTTGACAATCTTATAACAATTCATAACATTTGAATAATTTTGGCTAAATTACTATATAATATTGAAGCAATTACTACACAAGACTATTAAATGAAATCCCACAGATATATCACGATCGCACCTTGAAACATTCTAATAGATTTTGCTATTACAAACCCTAAACGAATTGATTATCAGATCATTTCTAGTCTGAAACTCAAAATCATGAAATCACAGATTAATTTCTTCATTGGAACCAAAATCAAACTCTCTTCTGATAACAACAAAGAAGAACGAGGATAACAACCTCAGTCTTTAAATATAGGTAATCAACACTACTTTCACTTTGAAACAAAAATAATAGTACTAATCCCTACAGCAAAGCAAGTTCCAAAGGTACAACCAAAAACTTCTCTCGTAGATAACCAGAAAATCCTCAATCCAAACTGGAAAACAAGTGCATCCTAGTAGAAGAAACCAAGCACTTTACCACCAACATTCTTTCTTCTAGCCTCTTCATGGTCCATGATGCCAGCTGAAGTGGTTAGAACAATATATCCAAACTGCACAGATGACCAATAAGCAGTTAAGACCATAGCACCAAGCTCATGTTTCTATGAGGAAATTCAAAAAGACCATAGCACAAAGCTCATGTTTCTATGAGGAAATTCAAATAACTAGTAGAATTAGAACAACATAAAAAATATCAAAACTAAATTAGATAAAATCTAACAATGTAATATGGCGTGACATAATTGATCATTGCCTGAACTATCAAAGAAAATCAATCCAGAAGATCGACCATGAACAACAGCACAAAGCATTCCCAGCAGTGTCATCAATGAAGATTAAACAAATAGAGATGTTAAAGCCGCTATAGAAAATTGGATGAGGCCTCTTTTTCTAACCTGTCTTGAGGGAAGCAATCTGGCAGTCCACCCTTCAATCTCCTTGACACCCACATCAAAACGGGGACTGATAACACCACACTTGTTCAGCCTACCGTTCAATTCAACCACAATCTTTCCAGCTCTATGGTCATCAACATACTCAAACTCACCAATGTAACCTGTAAAGCAGAAAGACATGCTAAAGGCATAACCCCAGATCAATGTAGTCCAGAACTTAATGGAAATCAAAGCATACCATGCTTCTGCATAACAAGAAGAAACTTGATTATCACTTTGGAGGATGGTCTGATCATGACCTGGCGCTTGCCCCGTTTCTCTGCATTATACATGCTCTTAAGAGCATCATTCAAAACGCTAACTCTCACCATCGTTTCTGTTAGACAATTGAAAAAAAATAAGAAGTGTCAACCACAATTTTTAGAGCATGCAGAAATTAATACTTGTTAATGTGAAGGCATGGGATGTCCCAGACATTGTGAGATGAGGAGGAACAAGCAAAAAAATTGCTTCCTCCAAATAAAGAGTGAGTGTTCATAAGACACTACATGCTGAGACCAATGTTGTGGCAGCCCTCAATTCATTCAAACCTATAAATCATGCAACAACAATAGACATGGTCCAATGATCACGTCTTTCGAATCAAAGAGAAGGGGTGCTAATAAGGATTGGACCACGTCTTTCAAATCAAAGAGAATGGGTGTTAATAAGTTACTAAGTGAAATTAAGAACAGAACTATAACATTACTCTGTCTTGCTCAAACCAAAGGAATTTACAAATTTATTAATGAAAATTACATGAATAACTATCAGAGGATCAAAAAATAAGATTCCTTCAAGTCATTCTATAGGAACCACAAAACAGTATGCGGAAAACCAACACCCTAAGCACATATCATACAAACACAGATGCTAACGTATAACCCCAAAATTTAGTCCACAAAGAACAACTGATAAAGCTCGTTTCACCAGTTCCACGTATAACAGATCATAAATTTTATTGACTTTTTTTAAAAAAATATATAAATCTTAGTGACTTAAACCGATTGCAGATTACTAAAGAGCACTGATGATCTACTCAGTAGAAACCAATTTATTTACTTCATG